GATTCAAACCCACCACCTTAGGTGTATGTGGCTGGCACCTTAGCTGCTTGAGCCACAGGTATCGAGCCAAGTGGCTAATTTCTTAAAAATATTTTTGTAAAGCAATGTCTTGCTATATTGCCCAGGCTGCTCTCAAACTCCTTGCCTCAGGTGATCTTCCTACCTTGGCCTCCCAAGGTACTGAGATTACAGGCAGGAACCACCATGCCCAGCCTGAACTGTATTCTCAAAAATGGTTAAGATGGTAAATTTACTGTCACATACATATTTTTTGCTATAGTCAAAAAAAAAAAAACAACTCAAGGTCAAAGAGCCTATACATAATAGAAGCAAGACTAAAATCTAAGTCTTTTGACTCTCACACACAAATGTTCTTCTCATTAGAGAGTATTAATAAAAGGCATGTTCAACTTAATGAGTTATAAAATGCATTTGAATGCTCTACATCATAAGCCATCATGGAATGCAAACTAAAACTATAATGAGATACCATATCACGCCTATCCGGGTGGCTATAATCAAAATCACAGATAACAAGTATTGGCCAAGATATAGATAAACTGGAACCATTACCCACTGATGGTGGAAATGTAAAATAATACATCCACTTTGAAAAATAATCTGGAGGTGGCGCTTGTGGCTCAAGGAGTAGGGTGCCGGCCCCATATACCAGAGGTGGCGGGTTCAAACCCGGCCCAGCCAAAAAGTGCAATAACAACAACAATGAAAAAAAAAGAAAAAAGAAAAATATTCTGGAGTTGCTCCAGATGTTAAGCATAATTATGTATGACACTGTAATTCCACTGCTAGGTATATACTGAAGAGAAATGAAAACTTATGTCCATATAAGAATTTATAAACAAATATTCATAGCAGCATTACTGATAACAAGTAAAAAGCAGAAACAACCCAAATGTCCATAAAGTGAATGGATTAAAAAAATGTACTGTCTCTATACAATAGAATATTATTTGGCCATAGAAGGGAATGAAGTACACGCCAGAACATGGATGAATCTCGGAGACATTATGTTAAGTGATAGAAGCCAATCATAAAAGATGACATGGTATGATTACATTTTTATAAAAGGCCCATAATAGGCAATTTATAGAGACAGAAAGTAGACCAGTGGTCAATCAAGGAAATCATGAAAGAGATTATGGATATAGCAAGGAAAAGGTAGGGGTTTAAGGGTTTCAGGATACGGATCTTGGAGAAATTCAAGTGCTAAGAGACACCACACCAGAGGAATTAATAGAAGATGACTTGATGGAGATAAGCACTTCCAAACCAGGGCCAGACAATGAGGCAGAAGATACAAAAGAAGCAGTGCCAGAAAACAAATTGACATTAGACTATCGGACAAGAAGGCTTCTGATTACTCAAGAATGCTTTTGACTTCTTTTACAACATGAACCCTTCTAGATACAGGCAATGAAACTAAAGAAAACAGTGAAAGAAGGATTGGCACCATATAGAAACATTTTTAGAGAAAATAAAAAGCAAAAAGGTCAGAAATTACGATGTACACATATTTTTATCAAGTTAGATTAAGCGTGCCTGCCTCTTCTATCTCCCCTTCTACTTTCTCCACCTCTGTCTCCTGAGACAGCAATACCAACCCCTCCGCTTCCTCCTCCTCAGTGTACTCAACATGAAGACGAGGATGAAGACCCTTAATATGATCCTCTTCCACTTCACGAATAAATATATTTTCTCTTTCTTACAATTTTCTTAACATTTTTCTTTCTCTAGCTTACTTATTGTAACAATACAGCATAATAATACACATAATATATAAAATATGTGTTAACTGCTTATGTTATTGGTAGATTATTAAGTTAGGGGTTTGTTTATTTTTTGGTTTTGTTTTTTGAAACATTCTGTTGCCCTAGGTAGAGTGCCATGGTGTCATCACAGCTCACTGCAACCTCAAACTCCTGGGCTCCAGGGATCCTTCTGCCTAAGTCTCTTGAGTAGCCAGGACTACAGAAGGTGCCACCACGTCTGGCCAGCCCTTCTCTCAGCTCCAGATCATGAACCAGTTCTAAGATACTGAGATGTACCTTCTGAATCTAATTATAAACCCAAAGAAAAGCCAAGATCAGTTAGTTCAGGACTGAATTCAGCATTCTGAGGTCTACTGATTCAGGAAAACTGCAAATGTGAACCAACTTAATTCCTAAGCATTCCTCAGCTACTTTTTCGTTATTGATGTTTGAGTGATAGGGACCCTCATTCTGTCACACAGACTGGAGTACAGTAGCATGATTATAGCTCACTGCAAACTCCTGGGCTCAAGTGATCTTTCCGCCTCAGCCTCCTGAGAAGCTGGCATTACAAGCATGTGCCACCATGCCCAGCTAATTTTTTTCTATTTTTTTTGTACAGACAGGGTCTTTCTGTGTTGCCCAAGCTGGTCTTGAAATCCTGGCCTCAAGCTCTCTTCCTGCATTGGCCTCCCAAAATATTTAGATTACAGGCATGAGCTACTTTACTATGCCTGGTCTCCTAAGCCACTTTTAAGTCCAAAACAGACTTCTGGAAAGATCATACAATATGTGGTCTTTTGACACTGGCTTCTACTAGTATGTTTTCAGAGTTCCTCCATGTTGAAGAACATCAGTTCCTCCCCCTTCATAGCTAAGTAATATTCTATTGTACAAATATACCACACATTCTTTCATCACTTGATAGACATATGGGCTGTTTATACATTTTGACTGTTATGAATAATGCTGCTAAAGATTCATTTTCAAATATTTAAACACTTGTCTTCAATTCTTTTGAGTGGAGTGGAATTCTAGAAGTGGAATTGCTGGGTCATATGGTAATTCTACATCTAACTCTTCGAGAAATTCTAAGGTTGTTTTCCAGAGTGGGTGCTTTCAGTATATATTTCCACCACAATGTATAAGGGTTCTAATTTTGTCAAATCCTTGCCAATACTTATTATTTGTCTTTTTGCTTATAGCTATATAAATGAAGAGATGTCATTGTGATTTTGATGCTGAGCATCTTTTCATGTGTTTATTGATACTATCTTCTTTAGAGAAATGTCAATTTAGATCCTTTGCTCACTTAAAAAACTGGGTTAGCTTTTCAGTATTAAGCTTTAAGAGTTCGTCACAAGTTCTACATATAAATCACATCTCAGCTATATAATCTGTGAATATATTACTCCCATTCTGTAGACTGTCTTTTCACTTTCTTGATATTGCTCTTTGGGACATAAATGTTTTTAATTTTGATGAGGTCTAAATTTATCTGTTGCTTTAAATTCATGATTTTGTTGTCTTATATGAGATCATAAAGGTTTATCCCTATTTTCCTTTAAAAATTTTATAGTTTTATCTCTTATAGTTAGGTCTTTGATGTATTTTGAGTTGATTTTGCTGTATTAAAAATTATATACAAAAAAGATTGCAAAAAAAATAAAATATTACATACATATATGATTTAGGGGACCAACTTCATTCTTTTGCACATGGCTATCCAGTTGTCCCAGCACTATTTGATGAAAAGATTATTCTTTCCCCCATTAAAGGGTCTAGATACTCATCAAAAACCAACTAACAACAGACATGCAGGTTCTTTCTGAACTCTCAATTCTAATCCATTGATCTAGATCTACCATATGCCATTAGCACACTATCTTGATTGCTGCTCTATAGGGAAGTGAGTTCTTCAACTTCGTTCTTTTTCAAGATTGTTTTGGCTACTCTGGGTCCCTCGCAATTGCACGTGCATTTTAGTATCAGTTTGTCAATTTCTACAAAAAAATAAATAAAATCCCTTCTGGGATTCTAACAGGAATTGCATCGAATCTGTAGGTCAATTTGGGGAGTATTATTACCTTGACAAAATTAAGTCTTCTAATCCAGAAAATGGGATTTTCTTTTTATTTAGATCTTTTTTTTTTTTTTTTTTTTGACAGAGCCTCAAGCTGTCCCCCTGGGTACAGTGCCTCGACATCACAGCTCACAGCAACCTCCAACTCCTGGACTCAAGCAAGTCTCCTGCCTCAGCCTCCCAAGTAGCTGGGACCACAGGCGCCCGCCACAACGCTTGGCTATTTTTTTTGGTTGCAGCCATCATCGTTGTTTTGGGGGGCCTGGGTGGGATTCGAACCCACCACCTTAGGTGTGTGTGGCTGGCGCCCTAGCCACTTGAGCCACAGGCGCCGAGCCAGATCTTTAATTTCTTTCAGTAGTCAGTAGTGTTCTGCACTTTTCAGAGTATGAATTTTACATTTCTTCTATTAAATTTATTCCTAAATATTTTACTTTCTTTGATATTATAGTAAATGGAATTGTTTTATATCCTTTTTGGATTGTTCACTGCTAATGCATAGACATACAAGTGATTTTTATATAATTATCTTCTATCCTGCAATATTGCTGAACTTGTTTATTAGTTCTAATAATTTTTCATGAATTCCTTAGGATTTTTCATATACCAAGTCATGTCGTCTGCAAGTAGAGCTAGTTTTACTTTTTTCTTTCCAATGTGGATGCTTTTTACTACTTTTCTTACCTAAATACCTTGGTAGAGACTCCAGTACAATCTTCAATAGATGTGGCAAGAGCAGACACCCGTGTCCTTTTCCTGACCTTAAGGGGAAATGTTACACTGGATGTGTCTCAACATTAAGTGTATTAGCTGTGACTTTTTCAAATACCCTTTGTCGGATTAAAGAAATTCCCTTCAATTTGCAGTTTGCTGAATATTTTTATGATGAAAGAGTATTGAATTTTATCAAATGCTTTTGCTGAAGCTTGGCCCCTGTAGCATGGTGGTTACGGCACCAGCCACATACACTGAGACTAGTGGGTTCAAACCAGGCGTGGGCCTGCTAAACAGTGACAACTGCAACAAAAAATAGCTGGGAGTTGTGGTGGGCACCTGTAATCCCAGTTCCTTGGGAGGCTGAGGCAAGAAAATCTCTTGAGTCCAAGAGTTGGAGGTTGCTGTGAGCTGTGACGCCACAACACTCTACTGAGGGTGACATAGTGAGACTCTGTCTCAAAAAAAAAAAAGACATCAACCTCTGGCCAGGCACAGTGGTTCATGCCTATAATCCTAGCACTCTGGGAAGCCGAGGTGGGTAGATTGCTTGAGCTCAGGAGATCAAGAACAGCATGAGCAAGAGTAAGACCTCATCTCTAAAATCTACCCCTGGCATCGGGTACCTATAGTCAGTCCCAGCTACTCAGGAGGCTGAGACAACTGGATCACTTAAGTCCAACAGTTTGAAGTTGCTGTGAACTATGACCACAACACTCTACCATAGGTGACAAAGTGAAACTCTGTCTCAAAAAAAAAAGAAAGAAAGAAAGCTATTAACATTTGGGCCCTAGAGGTACTCACTGCACTGTAGGGGTATCTACAACATCTCAAAGAGCACAAAAAGTATTTATTCCTTGAAGTTTTGGAAAAATTCATCTATGAAACTATTTGAGTATGCCATTTTTAGTGAAGTGATTTCTTGTGATAATTTTCTGAAATTTTTCAACGGTACCGACCAAGTATTCTCTCTGCTTTTGAATAAATTATGGCACTTAATACTATCTGATGAAATAATCCCCTTTCAAATGTATTTGCACAAAGTCATTCATAGAGTATTTTATACCTCAGCACCTATAGCTCAGTGGCTAGGGCACCAGCTCACTGCCGTGAGCTGCAATGCCATGGCACTCTACCAAGGGCAACATAGTGAGACTGTCTTTAAAAAAAAAAGTATTTTATAATCCTTTTAATTCCTTCTGTATTTGTAGTTCTATGGTTATTTCCACAATCTCATTTTGAATTGTATATATCTGTGCTTGCTCAAAAAAATTTTTTTTCTTTTTTCTTCTTGATTAGATGTATCTATTTAAACCTGACATTTTCTTTAAGAATAGTTATTAATTTATGTGTCAAATTCTACTGTTTTCTAATTCATTACATTCTGCTCTTTTTTCAGAGCCAAAGACAACTACAAAAGGCTCTTATCTATTAATAATTACTCCATTTTGTTCTTTTAAGCTCATATATTATTTACTTTCACTTGTCATTACTTAATAAAAAGTATTCTAAATTCATCTTTTCTTTTTTCTTTGTAGAGACCGAGTTTCACTTTATCACCCATGGTAGAGTGCCGTGATGTCATATGGCTCACAGCAACCTCCAACTCCTAGGCTTAGGTGATTCCCTTGCCTCAGCCTCCCAAGTAGCTGAGACTACAGGCACCCATCACAACGCCCAGCTATTTTTTTGTTGCAGTTTGGCTGGGGCCAGGTTTGAACCTGCCACCCTGGGTAAATGGGGCCAGTGCCCTGTCCACTGAGCCACAGGCACTGCCCTAAATTCATCTTTTCATTGTGAATTCATTCTCTGTAAATCACCAAATCTTTACATAACTTCTCTAGATTGAGAAAAGTTCCTTACATCTAAATATGAGAAGAAAAATATGAGGGTTCTAAGTGAAATTCTCTTTAGTTCACACATATAATATTTATTCTTATTTAACTTTAGCAAACTTATAATAGTTAGCAACTTTTTCTTTTTCTTTTTTTTTGAGTCAGAGTCTCATTATGTCTCCCTTGTTAGACTGCCATGGCATCACAGCTCCCAGCAAACTCCAACTCTTGGGCTTAAGTGATTCTCTTGCCTCAGTCTCCCAAGTAGCTGGGACTATAGGCCCCTGCCACAAGACCCGGCTATTTATTTTTGTTTTTTATTTTGTTGCAGTTGTCATTGTTGTTTAGCAGGCCTGAGCTGGCTCAAACCCGCCAGCTTTAGTGTATATTGCCAGTGCCCTACTCACTGAGCTACAGTGAGCTGAGCCAGAGTTAGCAACTTTTAAAAAATAATACTCTTACCTCTTTTATAGTACCTGCTCGTCCAGGTTCATGATTCACACAAAAAGGGCCAGTTTTCCATGCCTCTGTGTCTCCACAGTCACAAAATCCTCCTCCAGTAGAAGTATGCATCTGATAAATGAAAAATGAGTCTGTCTTTATTTTAAAATGCATTATAAAGCAAGAAAAATGATAATAAATGCTCACCAATATTTCAACCTTAATTTTAAAAATATAATAGAAACTGGATATAACAAAACTATAGTATTTTGATTATTTGCCTAAAAAAGCCTCAAGTCCTGAACATTTCATTATAGCAAAAATGGTCCTTTCAAAACTGATAAACGTTTTTTTCTTTTTGAGACATAGTCTCACTGTTGATAGAGTGCCAAGTTGTCAATCTAACTTACAGGAACCTCAAACTTATGGTTTCAAGTGATCCCTCCTGCCTCAGCGTCCCAAGTAGCTGGGACTATAGGTACCTGCCATAACTCCCAGCTAATTTCTCCATTTTTAGTAGAGAATGGGGTCTCAAACTGGCTCAGACTGGTCTCGAACTTCTGAGCTCAACCAATCCTCCTGCTGTGGCCTCCCAGAGTGCTAGGATAATAGGAATTGAGCCCACTGCACCAGGCCAAAACTGATAAGCTTTTGAAGCACGACTCTAACTTCAAAATAACAGCTGTTTAAATTTTGACCTAGTGAAAAACAGATTACAAGGTATGCAAAAATAATCTATATGACACCTAGAATGGTTGAGTAATAAAGTATTTTGTATTTTGTCTGTGCTTCATCTAAGTCTTTCGTATTCCCCTGCTCTTTTTCATGGAGTACCTTAAACTCCCCTCTGTTGTTATCTGCATTCACAGGCTTAAGTTGATAGGCAATGGGAACTCTTTTGGAATGAGCATACAAAATTACAGTATTTATTTCTTGTCTCCTAGTAGTACTGAATATATGTAGCAGGTGTGGTTTTAGTGCTCTCTTTATTCATTGTATGTTGTGGAGTAAGTTTTCAGAAAGATTCAAAATCAGATTATTGTTATCATCTTCTACCTGGGTTAATATGTTTTAGATAAACTTTTTCCTTTCAGTGTTCTTGAAAAAAAACAATCAAGTTTTAGTTGCATTGGGACATCAATG